TCTATCTATCTATCTATCTATCTATCTATCTATCTATCTATCTATCTATCTATCTATCTATCTAATCTATCTACTGCACAGAGCAGTATTTATTTAAGGGGAACTCCATTTCAAACTGTGATCTAATAAAATAAATCCCTCACTGATTGGACTTCTGGTGACATGTGACAGTTATSGTTAACTCATTACCTGGAAGTGTGACCTCCTCCACACCTGGGAGTTCTCGGTGAAGGTTAGGTTGGCTCCTGCTCCTCCGCGTCAGAAAAGCATCAGCTTCAGATTTCYATCCTTGGTGAATTATTTTATTTTMTTGTAGAAATGAACAGAAAGRTGCTGCTTAGATGGCAGAAACTCWTTTTTTTACTCACAGGTAAGCTTTTCTTTTTCTTTCTGTATTCGAAAAAAGTCATTGCCACACCTTTTTATGGTGCTACCGCTGCTGTTAATCATTACATTTAGCTTCAACTGAAAGCAAGATTATATTTTACTGAAAAGAGACCCTGCTGGTTAAAATAGTAACAAAGTGGTTAGATTTATTTATATCTGAATATCATATTAATTGTTAAGCAACTGAGAATAACAATGTTTCTGTGTTACTGTATTCTTCATTTCTAGTGCTTCCCTGCTGCTGGAGTTTGCAAGTGTCCATTCCAAACAAAGAATACAAAGTTGCCAAGGGGGGAGAAGTTACTTTAATCTGTTCTTTTGTTCCTGCTATTCCGGTTACAGACAGTTTTCTTCTCTCATGGGAGGCTTTCCCTGATGCTAACGGAGAACCAATGGTAAGATGTAAAATCAGAAAGAAAAGCAGCCATATCCTCTGAGCCATTTTTAGTAAAGTCTGGAAAATTGAAGCATTATTAAAAGATCGTAAAGTTGAAAGATGTGAACTGCATTTTAGCTGAAAATGAAATATCTATTTATAAACTGGTTTATTTTTAGTAGTACATTGACATAAGTTACTAGTAAAATTTTACATTTTGTTCAACATTAGAAAATATAATTATGTTTTAGTTTCATAATGATAATGATTTATTTTATCTCAAACCAGACAATGATCTTCTGTAATGATTTATAACTTCAGTAAAAAAAGACAGATGGTTTATTGAAGGGTCATGAAACGGTTCTGACCTTTGTCCAGAGGAGGATGAATATGTGAATGAGTCAAAACAGTTTTGTGTACACAAGCTACTATCGCTCAGGTGAATCAAAGGAAGAGAAAATTATTTTTACATTGTAACTTGTTATTTTTTTCTTGATTAAAACACACAATTTTAGCAGTTACATTTAGGGAGCAGCCAAAAGGCCTTAGCATATAACAAAAAAATAAAAAGTGATTCAGCTATTTTGAAGTGGGGTTATGTGGAAAGGTTGCAAACAATCAATATCTTGCCTGTCGTATTTCCGCTTATAATGACCTCACTCAGAGCCGTTCAAATAAATTCTGTTTAAAAACTGTTACATCACTGTCTGCTCTGCTCAACATGGTTAGTTAATAAGGGTTTTTGAAACCACAGATAGCAGCAGTGGCAGCTAGCTGCTACATGGCAACTGCTTTGGACGTTTACCTGTAGAATTAGCCCCAAAAATCTGTAATTTTTGCAAAACAAAAATCCATACTACTCATACTCACACCTGCGTGCGTGGTGGGGGTGACGGGTGGGGGTGTGTGCTGTAGGCCACGGAGATGACAGYGCCTGCTGCAAAGCAGGAGGAAAGGAGAGTGGAAAAAGTGGAGAACTCTTATTTCTAGTCTTATTTCTAGTGGCAGAACAGGTTGGAAGATGGTTATTTGATGCTATTTATTGTTTTTCTTTAACATTTTACAGACTCTGACATGTTACATTAATTTGAAACTGATGTTTTCAAAAAAAAGTTTGTAAAACTTGAAAAAATCCATGAGATTGCGCTAAACGTCCGCATACCTGCAAAATTATGGAAAATCTGTGTAAATTAGGGACAATCTGTACAACTTGACATGTAGCAGTTCTGGTGTAGCCTGTGCCACTTTCTGCAGGGATATTTCAATCTTTCTGGCCGGAATAACCATGTTTTTTTTTTTTAAATGAACTGCAATAAAGTTTTTGGAATAAGTTCAGTCCTCTCATGCCTTACCCAACTTGGTTAGCGGTCAATCCAGTCCACAAACTCTTACTCCAAAAGATCTGAACTCTTGCTTTAACCTACCCCAGTGACTCAGTGCTTACATTCTTWAACACTTTTTACAGATTTTTGAGCCTTACATTCATTTCAATTTGTCAGGATWAATGAATCTTAACCTACTGAGTGTATATTTTGTGTTTATTTGTCCAGAAAACTGTGGCGAACTCCTTCATAAACAAGCCTGTTGGAATTTCACCATCTTACGAGGGCCGAGCCTTCCTGGAGGTTGACATTCATGGGGGMACAAGTAAACTCCGCTTAACCAAACTGACCATGAAGGACAGTCGTACTTACCAGTGCAGTGTCACAATATACGGGGATGAYCATGGAACAACACTTGCTGCCACTTCCCTTTTGGTCCTGGGTGAGTTAACACTGCAATAAGGTTTATGTCCGTCTGTTTGTTCAAAGTGGGACAGATGTATGTTTAGGTAAAGATTTCTGCTGCTGGTAAATCGTAAAGTTATCAAACCAGGGAAGTTATTGCCTACATTGTTTGCTTTATATAAAATCTTTAATGTTATCAGCTGGCCAAAATAAAATAAAAAATAAATAAAGGAGTAAAAAAAGAAAAAAATAAGATAAAACTTTGCAGATAATGTTTTCTTCAACAACAGAACCTGTCCCACTWTAACAACATAATGTTTGATTGTTTACAGCATAGGTTTTGGTTTATTTAAAGTTTATTCTAAATCTGCATGTATTTACTGTTATTTTTAAATCTAATCCTTTCTTTTCCAGAGCCTCCTTCTCCACCAGTATGCACACTTCAGGGACGAGCTGAGTATTTTCACAATGTTACACTTACCTGTGAGTCCAAGGAGGGGTCCCCAGCACCAGAGTATCAGTGGACAACCTTCAGTGTTGAAAACGTTCCCAGACAATTTCCACCCAAGACAACTCAAAGTATGTGTTTTAAAACAAAGAGTGTGTGTATTTTTGAGATTTGTTGTGTAGATAGTTTGCTACTATTTTAGGCTAATCGTTGTGATTATGTTGCAGAGGATGGAGTTTTATCTCTTTTCAACATTTCAAGAGAGACGTCTGGGTTCTTTATTTGCGTATCAAAAAATGAAATTGATTCAGCCAGCTGCAACTTTACCTTAGCTGTGATGCCTGGTGAGTCCTGTCAACATATTGACCTTACAGTCACTAATGCTCAAAGTCAGTAATTTTCAATGCATTGTCGTCTAGATTTATTCATTCTACTTATAGTTCTTTTAAATGCATTTAGTATATTCAGTGTTTATACCTACCTATCTTAACCATGTAGTTTCAGTATCTCTGATATATTATATCTTGCAGTAGTCCGTTCATTAAATTAAATGTAAAACATTGACTGAATGGTAATCCTTGCCATATAATAAGGTTTTTTTTTATTTTCTGCTTTTTCTACCCCAGCCAGTATGAACCTTGGGTCCACTGCAGGTATAATTGGGGGAGTCCTTGCAGGTGTGGTGGTTCTGGGGATTATCTGCTTTTGTTGCTGCAGGAACAGAAAAAAGAACAAGCACAACGAAGAGTGTGTATTGTGTGACTAGTGTSTTTTTATCAAGAGGACTAACATCAGTATTACTTTATTAATTACATCTTTCTGTTGCAGTTCTCCTGGAGACATGGAGTTTTTTGACAAAGATGGTCCAGAAGCAGGAGACCAGTACTGCGATGACAAGTCAAACAATGAGGAGAAACAAGTCAAGCAAGATGAAGGCAAAGATGTTCTTCTTCAAAATAAATACAGATTGCCAGGAATGAGACAAGAGTTGGATGATGATCAGAACAGCTATAACAGTAGTAAAAACAGGCATGACGAGAGGGGCAGTGAAATAGATTCTCAGCCATATCAGGAAGACCGACAAAATCGCTACAGAGGAAGTCAAGATCGACTCGATGACCGCCGTGATCACTACGGAAGTCGTGATCGGCTTGATGATCGACAAGACCGTTATGGAAGTCGCGATCGACTAGATGATCAACGCGACCGTTATGGAAGTCGCGATCGACTAGATGATCAACGCGACCGTTATGGAAGTCGNTATGGAAGTCGCGATCGACTAGATGATCAACGCGACCGTTATGGAAGTCGCGATCGACTAGATGATCAACGCGACCGTTATGGAAGTCGCGATCGGCTTGACGACCGGCAAGACCGTTATGGAAGTCGAGATCATCTTGAGGATCAACGTGACCGCTATGGAAGTCGTGATCGGCTTGACAATCAACGTGGTCAGTACGGAAGTCACGATCAGCTCAGTGATCGACGGGTTCACCATGGAAGTCGTGATCGGCTTGATAATCGGCAAGACCATTATGGAGTTGGCCGTGATTACAGTGACAGAAATTGATAGTAATGGTTATGAGTTATTGACACTCTTCCTGAAGCTATGGAAGGGCTTATGGTTAAGACAAGAACTGTGTCCAAATTCAGAGGCTGGGTCCTCCAAAGGCCAAATTTGTCGGCAGCTTATGTCACAGCGCTGTGCCGGAGGCTGTCCAAATCCGAAGACTCCTCCAACGCGGCCGACAAATGCGTCCTTCTTTTGCCCTAATTTGAAGGACTGGGCCGATGGATCCTTTTCGGCCCAGCATATCCCATGACGCATTGTAGAAATAAACAAGACCAGAATTTTTATTCTGCTTGTAATGGTGGACAGAGCAAGAGAAAGGAATACAATTTTAGAAAAAATATGGCAATATAAAAATTTAAAAATTTAAGCGGTTGTGTTGTCAATGATTTTGTAATGTGTATAATAACCAAGCACCTACTGCAGGTTCCTTAGTTCTTCAAATATTACTTTCAAGTTAATTTTATTGTTTTGTGATCTTTATAATACTAATATATTGATTTTTTTATTTCAATCTAATTTTGCTTCTGTTTAGCACCGGGGTAAGGACGGGAAACTAGACCGTCCAAATTCACAGCCACTCATTTCTGGTCTTCGCGGTCTACCAAGGACCCGGCCTACCTAGACCAGGAAGGCTAGGTCCTCGACCCAGCCTCTGAATTTGGACACAGCCAAGGTCTGGGTTAACTTACTTTATCCCTGTGCCTTTTGTGCTGTGTGGTGAGAGAAGCCTTTTTCCCAACTTGTCAATCAGCAGTCTCACTGAGTTAAAGTGACACCTCCTCCAAGCAGCAAACCTTTTCTCCATAACATAGAAGAACTTTAGCCAGCTGACAAGGAGTGTATTAACTCTGCACCGCATGGCATTTCAACCCTTTTCTTTGATCTGTCACAAAAACCAGTCCAAGTGGCAACAACATCTAAACATTAGTTGTTAGCATTTTTTTAGGCCTGAAATTGAAATTAAACTAAAAAGGGGAGCGGTCCTCCTCTTTGGGGACTGCACCTCCCATTTTGAGGACCAYATTTGATCTGATTTGTGTTTAAAACTGAATGCTTTCATGCTTCCAACTGTAAATAAATATTCAGAAACTAATTATGATGTTGCAACTTTTTATCATTTACTGTACATGTATGACTGACAATGGTTATAATTGCTAATTTGCTTTGAAATGCACTGTACTCTACAAATTCCAAATCTTTTGAGGCAAATTTCTTTGGAGAAGTTAGGATCAGTTAATATTCTACCTTTTTAAATGATGCAGATTTTAAATGGGATCAAGATGACTAATCTGGTCACATTTGATGCTGTTTCTTCTAACAGACTGTTCAAAGTACTATTTACAACAGCTAAGATATTAATTGCTCGTAACTTTTGCACAGGACTCCACTAAGGGGCCATTTATAAAATCTTCTTTTTTTCTATTAATTATTGTGTGCTAAACATCCTTTAAAGTGCCTTTTTATATTGAACCTAATAAAAATGAATTAAAGACAACCTTTGTGTGGGATAAACTTTCTTTTTTATTTTTTATTTAATCTTTTTTCATTTAATAAAACAACAAAAAATCTGTATACAATAAAAAAAACAATTTACAAATGAAATGAAAAGGGAAAAATGTCTTTTATCTGCCACCTTTTATTCAAAATTAAATTCTAATAAAAATAATAGTTTTTAAACTTTGAAACGAAAAAAACAGCCCTAAAACAAAGAGTAGGCTAAATTTCTTGAACAAGCTGCCTCATTAAACAGTAAAACAGATCCTGTTGCACTTGGGGGAACCTGAGCCTCTCTCATGTTAGACTGAACCCCAATGGGTTGTTTTGGATCAGAGCTGAATTCACTCCACACTCTATGAAGTGGTTCAGTCCCATTTAGAAATGGGATATATCTATACCTTTTAAGGGAACCAGATTTTTAGAATCTAATTTGAAAATGAGGTTTTGAAAAAATCCTTTTTGAAAATTTGAAATTGAAATTTGAAAATCCTTTGAAGTCATCCCAAGGTTTCTAGCTGAAGATTTATCCAGACTGCCAAGAGGCCCAAGGATTTCCTTTATCGCTGGAGTTATTTTTTCTGGTGCAAAGATAATAACTACTGTTTTTTCTTCATTTAACTGAAGAAAACAGTCAGTCATCCAGCTCTTTATTGAATCCAAACATCGTAGTAAAAGGCACACTTTTGTTAATTCATGTAGAGAAAACAAGATATACAACTGAATATCATCAGCATACCAATGATAGGAAATATCCTCAAAAGATGACAAGAGGGAGAATATAAAGCAGAAACAACAATGGCCCCAAAACAGAGCCCTGTGGAACACCAAAAAGAACAAGACAGGAAAGGGATCTGTAAGTAGATGAGGCCAAAAAGTTTGATGTGTCAGATAAATAAGAGGACAATCATTTTAAAGCGGGACCTGAAATTACGGCGCAACTCCTCAGTCTAACCTAGTCAGATGGTCAACAGTGTAGGGGTCACCTCGAGTGAAGAAACAAGATTTTCTGCCTCTAAGCAGGCCTCGGACAGGCCTGAGAAGAAGACAGGAACTCTGTTACAAACTGAACTCTATTTAGGCCATGACAGGTCATTCTAACCATGGAAGAGAACCCCTCAGTTCTCTTAATCAGATAATGGACAGAACAATCTCTTCTGTTCGTGATTCATTTGTTGTTTAACTAAGAATGTTTATGCATTTGTTAAATCATGATAAAGACTGTCACAGGAAAAGTGGAACGACTTCTTTTCTCTTATCGTGCCTTAAAGATTTATAATGGTATAAAAAATCAGAGAATCTGATTACAATGTTTTTATTGTGTTTTATGTAAATCACTGTTTTTATTTTACTGTGAACACAGTAATATAATTGTGGATTTTTCTTGAGAAAATCTTTAATTTATCTGGGCTGAAAAAATGGTTCAGAGCTGATTATAAACAGAAATGTTACAGTTAATCATCATAAATGTTTTGCAGGGATTTCTTTTAGAGTCTATCAGAAGGAAGCTAAAGAGGTTATCATGATGTTGTTGAACAACCACAGAATTTAACTTGACTGGCGCCTGCCTGGCAAGTCTGTATCTTTCTTCTCTGACTCATCTCTAAGCCTGAGGGCGGAACCAAAGTTTGCCCATTCTTATTACTAACCCGGACGGCTTTGAGCATACTCTGTCTTCCTAACTCAAACAAGGAAGACGGCTGTGGTTCTCTTCATAGAATCTCAGCTCTGGGGCTGTAAATCTAATTCCACGAGCCAATTAGGGTGTASTGTACAGCCAGGGAGCCGACAAGCCTGTCGGTGTTCCCACCTGAGGCTTCAAGCCTCCAAGTGTGTGTTTTTACCTTCCGATGGGAAGATGGTTTTATTTTGATGGAGAAACTGGATACGGCTTGAATTTTTCTGGCTTGGACTGAACCAGACGCAAAGTTACCTGAAAATAACACCTGTTCGCCAATGACCGGTAAGCGAGCCGACAACAGTTCACTGAATGATCGGAGGCGAGCCAGTTTTTCTACTCCGAGGGTACCTTAAGAAGCCATCAGGTAAAAGGCTGATGTGTTTGGGTGACGTGTCCTGTGGAACTAGTCGAGAAAAGATGTGCAGATCTGGTTGACTCACACTTTGGTAAAAGTTAAAGAGTAGAAATACTAATCTTACTTTCCTCCTTTTCTTGTATCTTGATTTGCCAAAAACTTAAGCTAAAGTGCCAGTAAAATTGTTTGGTTGTTTAACATCGGAACTGACGTTTTACTGTCTATTATAAGTAATCTGAGTGATGTGGATTGAAAGTCGGACGCGAGTTTTATCCCATTAATTCTGATGCTTGTAACTGAATACCCACGATCAAGTGTACTGTAGCTGATGATTTGTTTAATTTGTGTAAATAAATGATTGCACAGTCATTATGAATCAAATTGAACTCGTCTGAGCATTCCACTTATTGTGTCATTTTTCACTTCACACAGTCAAGATATTAACATAGTGAGAAATCCCTTGGTAAAAATTTTCCTCATAACCCTATGTATGACAGATGTGGGGAAAAAGTTTATTTCATACTAGGCTCTCTCCTACAACAGTGTCAAAAGCTTGACAACAGGTCCAACAATTCAATTCAATTCAATTCAATTTAAATCAGTTCAATTCAATTCAATTCAAAAATACTTTGATCCCAGAGGGAATCAAAAGTTAATTTAAATAGGTTAACAAAAATTAACAAAAGCAGAACTGAACAATTACCTTTATCACACTACATTAAAATGTCATTTGAGACTCTAAGAAGAGTATTTAGCTTCAGACCCTGGTAAAGTTGTCCATGGCAAGCAGGCCTCAGGTGAGAAGTCAGATTTAGTGTGATTCAAAACCCTTGATGAATGAAGCAATGGTTGCATCCAGAAACCTTGGCTGGAGAAGGGAAGCCGGGGCACCCCTCCTTGGACCCTGGTCTGGGGGGGCACTTGCCAGTGAGTACCTGATTGTCGAGCCTTGGCTCCTGGGGCTTGGCTGGGCCAAGCCTGACAGAAAGACAATATGCCACTGCCATTGTGGGCTCACTTTACATGTTGAGCAAGGAAAGATCCTTGGTCATGCCAGTTCTTGGTGACAGAATAATTTAGGGACATGGAAAATCACATTACTCATGGATAAGAAGCTGGAGTTTGTGTGTGAGGTTCAACGATACCAAATAGATGTAGTTGGACTCACCTCTATGCATAGATTACATCCTCTGACACAGATTATTTAGAAGTTCAGGATCCACAGGACTGGAGATAGTCTCCCCGGACGTGTCCACAAGAGAACAACTGATGACAAATTAAAGAGACTGATAATATGAAAAGAAACCAAGGAGTCCAGAACAACCTCCAAAGAGATTAGATGTTAACGCCAAGGTCAAGGTGCACCAAAGTCAGATGGCACCAAGGTTGGTGAGCTAAAGTGGACATAATGAAAGTCAATGTAGAGGACTATCAAAGCATTCTGAAGTGAAATGTGCTGCACACTTTCAGAAAGCATGATCTCAGTTGCAGGTTTTATGTTCTCAAGCAGGATAATGACCCAAAACACACAGCTAATACACTACAGAATGGCCAAAATATTGGCAGGAGCTGAAACATCTGGAATAGGTACCCGAGATAGCTGGAATAGTTTGTTCATGAGGAGTGGGACAGAATACCTGTGAACAGGTGCAGTAATTTCAGAATTACAGAAATTGACTGATTGACTGATTGACTGATTGATTGATTTTTAATAATTATGTTGAACCAAAAAAGTAACATCTGGTTTTCATTGGATGTTTAGCAATTTACTTTATTTTAATTACTTTTGTTAATATCCAAATTAGGGATGCACGATATATCGGCATTGACATCGGTATCGGCCAATATTGGTCATTTTTTTAAATATTGGTATCGGCCCGATTTGTAAAACGGGGCCGAACTTAATGTCCAATATTGATTTTCCATTTTTTAGCTTTGTGTTTTTGTTTTGGTAGGCAAAATGTTTGATCAAGTGGTATCTGTTTGATTGTGATAGTGATATTGATGCTGTGCAGCCAGGAATAACTGAAGTAGAGCCATGTCAGCAGTCTGGTTGTTTATTTGCGGTATCAAAAAAAAAGACCCAAGTGTGATGTGCGTATTTGTATATAAATAATTAGTGTGTGTGTGAATGATTAGTAAATATCGGTTATCGGCCATAACACCAATAATAATATCRGATATCAATATCTGCTGAAATTTTCATATTGGTGCATCCCTAGTCCAAATATAACTATGACCTTTGAGGGTTTTTAGWTCTTTAAATGTCCGTAGGTGATAAACAAAACTTAAGAGTTCTTTCAACTTGTTTTAAGTGAAGCTGTGATGTTAAATGAAGCCTGTCTTCAGCAMATCTCTTCAGATTGGAGCTTGTTACGAGGATATCTGTCTGATCAGACTGAACTTACACAAAAAGTAGAGTGGAGCAGGCTGATGGAAACTCTGTGGTTTTAAAGTAGTCAAGAAAAACAGGACCGAGATTGTGTAACACTGAAAGTTCCATTAGATCAGCAGAACCTCACTGATTTATCTCAGAGAGTGTCTGCTGGGATGCCACTCAATTAGTTACATAACACCATGGAACCAACACACACACACACACACACACACACACACACACACACACAC